AAAGTACATGATAGTTCTAGAAACGTTGCGTCACAGTGTCATGTGACTCGCTGACGCAACAGTATATACATAATTATAGAATACCGGCTTTACTCGCTGTCGTGATAACGAGTGGAATGGAACACAGCTTGGTACGCGTTAACCGTAATAATTCAGTCGTTATATTCGGCCTAACTCCGATCTTTGTGGAATAGAGAGCGCTAAATTATTCGAGTTAGCTACATTTATGTTTATGTAATCAGATACCTATTGTATGTAGCTGGAACTTTGACTAGCAGTAGCAGGAGAGGAATCAGCATTAGCGTAGTGTAATTGTATACTGTATAACTACAACACTATAAGCCTCACGGTCTTGCTTGTTGCTGTTAAAAAAATAAAATCAAGTGAAATGTCGGTATTTGTGTTCGAATTACTTTTGAGGACTTTATTTTACAAAACAGTTGATGGTAGTAACAGTTCCGAAAAATGGATATTAGATAATGAGAGTATGGTTTTTAAAACTTATAAAATAATTAATGCCAACGGGGAAAATGCTCGTGTGAAATTAAACATTAAAGATAGGACGAGTATTTTAGTCATTAATTCAGAACTGAGATCGGATAAAGTAGAAGTTTCATTGGGAATTACAGACATGCCTATAGATATTTCTGTTTGTGATTGTACGAAAATAGGACATGTAACTGAGAGTACTATATGTGCAAAATATAATAATCTCACTGTGGCGGTTGCATTGGAACGGCATAATGAAATTTCAGTTCAGTGTTACAGAATAAAATGGTTTGGGGAAGGGACTGAAATAATGGATTGTTTAAATTTTGGAAAAGCATACCTATACGGCGGAGGAGAGAGATATGAACAGTACTGGCCTTTGTGGAGTCGAGGTGAATCTTTGATTCCCTACATTACTGCAGATAATTTCCACTGTTTGAATGGACAAGGGTCAGTGATTGAGAACTATTGGATAACTTCATCAGGATTCTCTGTATTTGTTGACAGAGAAACACCCCTTGCTGTCAGTTTTAATGACAGTCAAAGTGGCAGGCTATGTTTTTCTGCAATTTCTGAACAGCATCCTTACAAGAAGAAAGATATTTATGAAAATAGAAAGCACAATGAAGATTTAAGTTATACTATTTGTTCTGGTTATAATATAAAAAAAGTTCAAGAATTTTCTTCTAAAAAATGGTTTCAGAGACCTGAAAAGGTTCCAGATGCCAAACTTTTCCAGCATCCAGTGTGGTCAACTTGGGCAAAGTACAAGGCTAATATAAGTGATGAAATTGTTATAACGTTTGCAAATGAGATAAGTACACATGGGTTTTCACACAGCATTTTAGGAATTGATGACAAATGGGAAAGCTGCTATGGTGAAATGGAGTTTGATAAACAAAGGTTTGGTGAACCCAAGATAATGAGCCAAAAGCTGAAAGAAATGGGTTTTGATACTTTATTGTGGGTACATCCATTTTGTTCAATTATGTGTGAGAGTTTTAAAACTGGAGCCCAGCATGGATACTGGGTAAAAAATGCCACAGGTCACCCTCTGCTTGTGAATTGGTGGAATGGAGTTGGAGCACACTTAGACATTACAAATACTGAAGCACAAGAATGGTTTTTAAAACGACTAGAAACTCTTCAAAATAAATATAATATTGATACATTTAAATTTGATGCAGGAGAAATTGCTTGGCTTTCAGAAGGTTTTGTTCTTCATGATAAAAGAATAGAAAATACACCAAATAAATTTAGTCAGTTGTATTCTGAAATGGCCCATAAGCTGGGATCCAAGGTTGAAGTTCGAGTAGGATTTGGTAGTCAGCATGTCCCTATTCTTGTTCGAATCTTTGATAGATATTCTTCTTGGGACTATGGTTCTGGCTTAAAAAGCATTATACCAACAGTCCTAACACTTGGAATAATTGGATATCCTTTTATTCTTCCAGATATGATTGGAGGGAACAACTATGGAAATGAATCAGCTACAAATGTCTTACCAACTAAAGAACTATATATCCGTTGGGTTCAAGTAAACACACTTCTGCCAACCTTACAATTTTCAATTGCACCTTGGCAATATGATAAAGAAACTATAAAGATTAGTCAGAATATGGTGCATCTCCATCAAAAATATTCTTCTCTTATCATCAGTTTGGCAGAGGAAGCTGTTACTTCGGGAAATCCCATCATCAGACCTTTATGGTGGGTATCTCCAGATGATCCTGAAACATGGGTTTGTGACTCTCAGTTTTTAGTAGGCAATGACCTTCTTGTAGCACCAGTCTTGGAAGAAAATGCTCAACATCGAGACATCTATCTACCCAAAGGATTGTGGAGAGAGATGAACAACAATGAGATATATAATGGCCCTCGTTGGCTCAGACGACATAGGGCCAATCTAGAGCGCCTTCCACATTTCCTGAGAGCAGTTCGAGGCCATAGTGAACTTTAAGTTGGCCCAAAGTTTCATGCTGGATTTTTATTTTCAAAAATCATACCTAAACTCATCTATTTCGTTACAGTGATTATTTTCTCTCTGCAAACATTTTCCAAATTAATTATTCTCTTATATTCCATAATAAAAGTAATCAATTTAGCCTGTTTTATGTACAATATACAGGGCCCCAAATCTGTTATGATTTAGTTTATTTCTTCTTGCTTGGGAAGTGGTACCTGCCAACCAGACAGCCTGATTAATGTCTCTCAAAAGACTTGAATCTAAAAATGTATTTGTTGTATTTTTCATAAACAATAAGTGTTAAATCACTGTTGATGGTAGAATTGCATTTATTACATCTAACATCCTCCTTAATGTTATTGTTTCAAGCTGTTTTTACTCTAGATAAGGGCTGCATTGTTTAATTCTTGTTTAACATATAAAAAAAACATGGCCTTGAATATAATTTACTTTCTGTATTTAAGATGTACCTGCTGTTATCAGTGAGTTGTTAAAATTATATTGATGCACATGTGGAACTGTATGCTGGATGTTGTGGTGCTTGTGTGATTTATCAGCATGTTTAATAAACTTTTGACAAGGTAACTCATCCATTTTATGGAGCTATAGAATATTAAAGATCCATACCAAAATTATTAATATGTACCAACTTAAATTTTCATTTACTCTTTTGTGAAGGTTTTAGCAATAACTTTGGTAGTTTACAATATACCATCTTATATATATTACAACTACAAACAAAAGGTTTGTTTCAACCATGAAGCAGTAGAATAATAAAAAATAAATAAAAGTTGGGCTGGATAAGTATTGTACATATTATTTATTTATGTCCTCCAGACACAGAATCCCACAAAGGAGTGTCACACTAAACAATTCACACACACAAATAAAACATTTCAATTAGTACTAATATTTTAATTTGAAAAAGATAGCTTTGTGTTGTTAAGAAAAAAGTGCTTAAATAAAATGTAATCTTGCTAATAATTATAGTTATTTTTACAGAACATATCTGTATGCTCTTACTCTAAGTGCCCTTAGCATTACATGTGACTTCTGGAAACTGAAGACAGTTTCAATATTAAGAAATGATGCTGCAGAGAGGGGAAGGAAGAGCTGGCCATGGATTGGTAATTTTAATGACATCACTGTACTTAGTCTTCTAAATATGGAAAAGATGATAAAGCTTAACCCTAACATCAAAGGCATGAGATGACTGTTTACACACATTTTTCCATAGAAAATGCATTCATTATTTTGAAGATAGGACTATATTTACATTTGTGTCAAGCTGTGCATGAGCTACATTATGTGTATGTTATTATATATATACTTTATACTTGCTTGTACAGTTTATCATGTTATATAATAATGAAAATTGTTCTGAAACCATGGTTATATAATGTATTAAATATATTTCTAATGTACACTTTTCAGTCTATAACTCACAAGTTACTGATGTATCTAGAAATAGTTTCATTAATTTTTTTATGTATTATTATTATTAATATTATGTGCATATTTGGTTAGTAACACAGGTACAGTAGTTAGCACACATGTAAAAAGGATTAAAAATAAGTTATAATCTGTTTTTCAGATGTTGATTTTTGTTCTGTGAAGAAAAATTTATTTTTATTTCAAATTGTACATGCCAGTAACATTGTGTAACTAAACCTGGTTTTCAGTCCTTCATGATGAGTAAAACTGCCCTAATACTTGGACTTAACTTTTAAAGTGAAATGATTTTGCTACTTACTTTCATATTTTATGCTAAATTTGAATAAGAAAATCAGTCATGAATTATTCATTAACAGGTACAACAACTGTAATGTAATTTAAAACTTATTTTCATAATTTGATGTGTGTGTGTATATTAATATTTGTATTAAACTTGATAACTTTCCCTGACATTTGAGGTTTAAACTCTGCTTTGGTTGTATCTTATTTATAATTAATTTTAATGTGTGTGTGTGTGTGTGTGTATGAAATGTGAAGGATATATTTTGTAGAAAGAAAATTTTATTTAACAAGACTACAGAAAACTGTAAATATTTCAGAATAAAAGTGTTATTATACCATATCTTAAAATGCTGCATGAAAACTTTTGTACATATGTAATTTTCATGTATAAAGCAGTGATGGTTTTGATGTATTAAAAAGAGAAAATGTATGTTACAAATAAAATATGCATTCTACAGATCACAGAAAATGAAGTGATTTAGTAGTTAAGTAAAAACCGATATATATAGTCAGTTTATGATATTTGCCAACAAGATTGATACACACGGGTTTATTTTATACAAATATGTTTTCATATACACAAAACAATACAATTTACAATAACAGTTATTACAAATAGTTATTACAAACAATGATTTATAAAAAAAAGTTTCACAAACTTACAAGCAATATAAAGTCTTCCTTTTAATCTGGAACTTCTTCGAATAAAAGAGTCAAATAAAAATATTTCTTAATACATGTATTTAGAGGCAAGTAGTGACTCCAGCCAAATTAAAGGATGGAATACCCTGCTATGATCATTTAGAACTGAACTTTTGGCCAAATATAGGAATGCCAACATTCTTGTGTGTCTGAGCAAATCTAAACATATCAGTTTTAGTTTAACAGAAGTAAGTAGTCACAAAGTGGTAAAATTATTATTGTTATTGAGACAAAACATATATAGTAAACAAAGTAGGACCAGTATGAAACAAGGTTCTACCATTATATATTAATCTAAGGTTTGACAACTATAGCATTTATATTAATATTTTCCTGAAATATTTTTTTATAACTTTAATTGTGTATTGCTTTCCACTACACTAAAAAGAACGTTTAGGGGCATGTGCAAAATCTGAAAAGGGGGAATGACACAGAAGTCTAAGAAGCTATATTTGTATTAAACTTGATAACTTTCCCTGACATTTGAGGTTTAAACTCTGCTTTGGTTGTATCTTATTTATAATTAATTTTAAAATAAACCATATTAAAAGGTGTTGTATCTATTATAGAATAAGAGAAATAAACATTTAATACTTCCAATGCCATTGTTGGAAATGTGTTAGTATTCGTTATTTTACATTTTGAGATCATCATATTGAGTTCAATGCGCAGCTGCATATTATATTTTATATAGAGAGGCATAGTAGTGACTTCAACTAAAACTGGTCAAATATTTATTATGAAACCTGACAAAGGGATTCAAAGATTGAAAATGTTTTGTTAACGATACAACAAAGTTTATTATGTTGAAAACAGATTCTATAAAAACTATGGGATTATTTAGCAAAATTTATAGAAAAAGTTAGTCATTAACACAAGAAGAATATCTTAATGTATGACTTATCACAGCATCCAGGTATTTTATATGCTGTTCCAAAACTTTACAAGAAGATTATTCTGTTATACCTATAGTTTTTAAAATAGGTATTTATAACCATGAATTAGCCATTTTGGTTTAATATATACATAATGATCTCACCATTAGAAATGCATAACTTAAAAGTTTATTTTGCAAGTTTACTTATAAAATTTCGGTATACTGTTGTTGTAAGCTTTATTTTTAACATTATCATTTGTTAGCTAGAGGGTTTAGAATGCCTTGAAAGTTTGAAGGATATGATGTCGAATCTTTTCTAGTATATTTGAACTAAGATTATAAATAAAGTTTTGTTAGGTTAGTTAGAGCGATTTTTCAAGATACAGAGTGAACCAATCAGTTTGTCAGCTATCATGGATACTTTATACAAGTAAGTTGATTTGTTTTAAATTAGCAAATGTTATTTGCAAAGTAAGACCACAGCAATTTACAGATTTGTTTAAGTTCACAGAAATGTTAAAGGAGGAAATAAAGTATTGTTGAATTAATTTCACCAGCTAATTTAAAATAACCTGCCCGACAAATAATGCTACTACATTTGGAGCTGTTTGTTGAATCTCTCAAGAAAGTTGTCCCATGTGCACATATGGGTTCAGTGCCTCTTCTGGGAAACAAAATTTCTAGTGGCCAAATGGATACAGTGCCACCAGAGATGGTGGTTTTAAGGAGGGCCTGGTGGTTAGGGTGCTTGACTTGCAATTTATGGGTCACGGATTTGAATCCCATCACCAAATATGCTTACTTTTTCAGCCATGGGGTTGTTATAGTGTGAAGATCATTCCCACTATTTGTTGATAGAGAGTAGTTCAAAAATTGGTGATCAGTGGTGTTAGCTAGCTGTTTTCCCTCTGTTCTCTTCCTTCTAAATTAGGAATAGCTAGTGCAGATAGTTCTTGAGTAGTTTAACACAAAGTTTAGTGTGTTCAGTCTCGGGCTATTTATCTTAGGAAGGACATTGAATTGTTGGACATTGCCATTTTCTGTATTTTAATGATGCACTTTAATAGTCACAGTGACACCTCACTTGTAATCAGCACATTAAAAAATGTAGCTACAGTGTAGGTAAAACTGAGATTCTAGCCAAATGTTATAATGAAAATTGATTGTAGAGGTAGAGAATATTGACAAAGATAAATATTTTGGAATGTTTCTCAATATCAAGCTAAGTAGCATATAAAAAGGAATTCTGACCTTATGCTGTACTGAACTGACATAAAGCAACATTCAAAAATTATAGATAAAGCTGAGATTCTAGGCAGATTTTTTTTAATACCCAGTTTATGAGTCAGGAGACATTTGTGGTGGGTATATTTATTCCCAACTAAATCTTTCTTTCTTTTATTACTGAATAGACATTGGCTTGTATGTAAAAAAAAGAACTTTTTTAATATACACTTTCATGCAGTATCTGCTGATATCCTCTATTTTTAAAGCATGTCTATTGAGCATAACTAACAGTACAAGCTTCCCCCCTCCCATTATGAACAGTTGGAGCTGGGATTGGTTGAGAGTGTAATTCAAATTAAATATTAATTGTTTTTAATGTTTAAAAAAATAGTTGATAAATATTTTATTTATCCATGAAACTTAGTAATTAGTGTATTATACATTTGAGATATAAACTAGTTTTGTTATATAAAAATATTTATTGATGGATTTACAGCAAATCTCTCTGAAGGCTGCTTACAGAGTTTAGTTTTAGGTGTTCATGTGCATATACTGTTCTAAACAGAATATAGATCAAGGTCCAGTCTAATAGTAACTATTAATATTATATTTCTAACATAACAAACACTTGGGATTTAGTGTTAAAGAACACTAAACTAGATGCTTTTAGAGCAGTTCAAATTATAAATATTTTGTATGCTATAAAGAAAAAATAACAATCAGAAGAAACTTATTTAGCTGCTTTCTGTTATTTTTCATGGTGTTTTTTTTTCTTCGTTCATTAAACTGTATTTACACAGAGGATCAACTTTAGAAGGTTTAAGGAGATCACATAATAGAGGGTTTTCTATTTCCTGTCTCCTTTTCTTGGAGACTGGGTTTTGTTTTATGGCAAAATGTCAAAAAACTAGGTATTTGTTTCATTAAATAATCAAGTATTTCTCCTATTTTAGTCCACAAGAGCTTAATCTTATATGATATAACTACTTCTTCACTTAAATGTGCATGATATTGCTGTAGGTTGTATAACTCAAAAACTATTACTGTTAACTCACTGTGCTATAAAATAAATAATTAAAAATGACATATAGACATGTTTGATAAAAAGTGTTTATTGGAACAAGTAAAAATTGAAAAATTACAGAACTTTTTATTTTACAACATATATGAAAATACCCTTTCATACTGTGATACTGTTTTAAAGCAAAATATGAGTAATTTTTTCTTGTAATACAATTTTTAAAAGCTGTTAACAGAGTTCAGTAGCTAGGCAATACTGGTTTTATATGAAGATAAGTTTGCTTTAAATGTGATATCCAAAGCACTCTTAGAGGGATATTCGGTAATAATTTTTTTTGCTTCAAAACATCTTAAACTACTGTAAAGGGACAATATAAAAATCTAAAACTGTAAGCACTATACATTCCAGTATTACATAAATATGTAATCAATATGAGAAAAAAATCTAAATTCTCTCTCTCTCCTGGCATCATATTGAAATTAATGTCTGTAGGGTTACCAACATTTAAATTTTGTGTCAATGGAATAATAACTTATAGATGAAATACAATATATATTTTTTCTAAAAACAGTTAAAGTATAGATTTGATTAGTACCTATATATACATATACACACACACACACATACATTATACAAGAAAATCTGAAGAATTGTCTGTATAAAAAATAGGCATTCTGTATGGGACACAGTATATGATTCTCAATATGTATGTGCATCAAATAATTATTTTAAAATTCTGTAATAAGTATTTATTATAATGTTTCTGTAGCTGTTAGTTGTGACAAAGGTAAAATATATGCAAAAAACAATTTGTTGTGTATAAACAATGTGGTATTGTAGGTATATATATATACTTATGTAACAAAAAGTTTTTAAACTGTAGTGAAAGTTACTTAAAATACTAGGGACTTTTACATCTTCAGTCTGCACTACAAACATTTACAGCTTTTGAATGTGAAAAGTTTATTATGTGAAAAGTCTTACTTAAGTAGATTCTACATAATCTCACCTCTGAAAAAAAGTGGTTGTCTGTATTTAAAACTTCTTGATATTGGTGTGATTAGGAGGTTTGTATATTATGAGCTTGCTTCAGGAGAGAACCATATTTGGTTGTTTTCTCATTTTATAGCTGGTTCATTTATACTGAAATTGAAGACTTCACTTTCCAGACTTATAAGTGGTTGCTAAATAATGGTGTATTTCACCTGTAGGTATAATGACATTTTTTTCCTGTATGTTGGACACTGGAGGAAATGTTTGTGCTTGCTATCTGTTTAACTTCCTGTACATCATGTTTGATATATGATCTTGGAGTGTTACAGGAAATGTAAATATCCCTACTTATCAGGATTTTCATTTATTGTTTTTTTGTGTGTGTCTGTTTTCATCAGAATGAAAGATCTTTTTTGTTGTTTATCTCCATGATTCCATAGCTGCTGAAGATTTATAAATCAATAAATAATGACATTCATGCTACCACCAGTCATTACAGACATTTTCTCATCAAAGGGTTTAAGCACCACCACAACAACCCTGTTTCAACCAAAAGTTAGAAGTATGTGAATGAAATATTTGTCAATCGGCCTCATATTCCGACACATCTTCAACCATTCTAACCAAATGATCTAGCTTCACAAAAACACTTAGCTTACAGTAATGATAAAGTAAAGCAC